CATACTATTGTCGACGCAAGCATGAGATGTCAGTTTGGGGGAAGGGAATCCAAGGGATGGGTGGATTTCGGGGGAAGAGACGTAAGAAACGATGATTTGGAAAGCAAACGCCGGATAAATGCACGCAGTTCATGTAAACATCAGACAAAATGTACACGTTCTTATACTTACATGTGGACAATGGCAGAGCCAGAAATCATCAACACCTTGGACTCAAGTAAGGCTCGACTAACAGGATATTGATTTTTTAAAATAAATACATCTTGGTTTAAGAGGATTATAGAGGTAAACCTAGGGTTTAAGCCCAAGCTTCCCTAGTCTTGCCTCCACCCTTGCATGTGGTACGTTCTTATCAAATTCTTGGTTACCGAATGATATCCCACGTTTCTCTGCGAGATTGCTCTGTACTAGTACATGTAAATGACTCGTAAAAGATATGCAAGCTATAAAAATAAAGGGGAAAAAGAGATCTGAACTCTTCAGTAGTTATACGGCGGGGAGACCAATATACTTTCAATTTTAATTGAATGCTTAAACTGTATAAATGAAAAATTATCACAGCAATAAAGTTCATATCAACAGAAGAAAATTAAAGACCATGTACTCCTCAATTTCACATAAGCCAATATCTCGTAACACTCCAATCGATGATCCAACGGTTAAGATATTTAGGTCCAATGGATGATCCAAAGGTCAAGATATTTATATTATGGTGATGTGCTTCAATGCATGTTGAGCTTTTGATCCCAACTAGTACTACCTTCGTTTTATAATGTAAGTCATTCTAGCATTGCCCATATCTATCTATTATATTATTAAAGGAATAGAAAAATGAGCCTCCACGTTCGCTCTCATGGCCTAGAAATTCTCACATTAATCGGAGAAAAAGAAAAAACAGAGTCCATATATAAATACAATTTAGAAATAGCTGAAATTCGAAATTAAAAAAATAAGGAATATTAGAAGAGGAGACTAGAGTCCATATAGAAATACAATTTAGATATAGTTGAAATTCGGAATTAAAAAAATAAGGAATATTAGAATAGGAGACTAGAGTCCATATAGAAATACAATTAGGAAATAACTGAAATTCGGAATTAAAAATAAAGAATATTAGAAATAGAGTATAGAGTCCATATAGAAATACAATTAAGAAAAAAAATAGAAATTCGAAATTAAAAAATAAGGAATATTAGAAGTAGAGTATAGAGTCCATATAGGAATTTAAAACTGACTAAAATTTGGAATAAACATAATAAAATTAAAAGTAGAGTTTAGAGTCCGTATAAAAATATAATTTACAAATAACTAAAATTCAAAATTAAGAAAAACATGGGAAGAAGAGTTTAAAGTCAAAATAGGAATACAATTTAGAAGTAACTGAAATTCAAAATTAAAAATTAAATAATATTGAAAGATGAGTTTAGAGTCCACATAGAAATACAGTTAGAAATAATAAAAATTTAGAAATAAAAATAAATAATATTGGAAGAAGAGCATAGAGTCTATATAGATATACAATTTACAGAAAATTCGGAATTTAAAAAAATAAATATTAAAAGATGAGTCTAGAGTCTATATAGGAATATATATAATTTACAAATAACTAAAATTTGATATTAAAAATAATTAATAACTAACACATATATAAAATATAATATGAATATTACACATTAGTAGTTTTGTAAAGTTATTGCAAAATTTAAAATTATATATTTGAATAATATAATGAGAAAACATATATGTTATTATATGAGAGAAAATATAATGATGCTAGCCGCGCAATCTGTGCGGACCACCATGCTAGTTCATATAGATGTTATTAACATCTATATGAATATGAATATGGGCAATGCTAGAATGACTTACATTATGAAACGGAGGAAATATGATATATATATATATATATATATATATATATATATATATATATATATATATATATATATATATATATATATATATATATATATATATATATATATATATATATATATACTGAAAATGCAATTTGAGAACAATAGAAAGATAATTGCACATACGAAAAGACACACGTTTACTTAATTCATTATAAGGAGAACAACATCATTTTATTTTCATTCCCATAACATGGGAAAAAGTTTATTCAATCCAATGACATGCAACCACAAAGCGAGAGCTTTAAGTACGCTGCTCGTAGCGAAGAACGGTACGAAAATACTCCCAGATTAATTAGTACCCGCCGGTGAATTTGGACTTGAGCAGCTCAACTACACCAGCATCCACGCGGAGTGCCTTGACAAGCACCGGCGTCGGGATGGGCGGGTTGGAGCCGAACAATGTGAGCGGGACGAAGACGATGCCGGGGTTCTGGCTGTTGAAGGACACCACCATGGTGGCCTCCGTCTTGCCAACGTTGAACTGGAAGTGCATGAGCCCCCTCGGGATGACGAACGTCTCGCCGGCACGGACCACCTTGGAGTAGTACCTGTTCCCGGTGTCGAGGGTGCCGATGATGCCGACGAGGAGCTCGCCGCGGAGCACGATGCCGACCTCGGTGGCGCGCGGGTGGACGTGCGGCGGGTTGGTGCCACCGGGCGCGAAGTCGACGCGGTTCATGGACACGCCGAGCGTGTTGACGCCGGGCCACTCGGCGACGTCGAGCTCCGTGACGTTGGAGCCGTTCGGGTTGGCGTTCACGTCGCCGCCCGTGGCAATCTTGGAGGAGAAGAGGAACTCGTCGCCGGCGGCCGACGCCGGCTTGCACGCGTGCCCGTTCACCGTCACCTCGCTGTTGAGGTCAGCGACGCAGAAATCCTGCAGAGGGTCCGCGTCGGTGGCTCGGATTAACACGGGCGCCTGCTGCAGGAGCAGCACGACGAACACCAACCCAGCTGCTTTGAAGCCGTACTCCATTGCTAATCAACTACTAGTAACTAATTACTTCTTCAATCAGGCAGACAGTAGCAGTGACGAGCTGGCTGGCTTTGTTTGCTACTTTGCTTTGCTGATGATGTAGCAAGCTTTGGAGCCCTTTATATAGGGAAGCACCCATGCATCGATCGTGCCTTCCGTGCATAACTGATCATGTTTCATGCGTACGTGGCACACGTGAGAAAATTTGCAATTCACTTATAGGAAGATTAGTCAGCAGTCAAGACCCCGTAGAGGCTGCTAAGGAACAGATCAGACTGATCTGTAGTGAAATTAGCTAGGACCTATAAGCAACAAATCCTACATGCTCTCCATGCCGGTCAGATATACAGATGGCTTATTCAATTATTTTCATCTCTAACGTGCAATGACTTCTCCCCCGATGATTTTGATTTTTAATGTTATCTTTAGCACTGTTTGCTCAAAGAGACGATATTCGTATATACTGTTAGGTTTCTCACCATAAATAATTAAATATATCTATTTATACCTACGAGTTGCACATTAGCTCCGGTGGAAGCTTCCAATTTATTATAACAAGTACAACTTGTGAGCATAAACGTAAACATTTAATGCTATATCGAGCTCCTTTGAAACACGGAATTGAGAAAATGAAGGAATAAAAAATATAGGATTTGATAGAAATGAAAGTGTTAAAGGGATAATAGCAAAACATTGAAAAAATAAGCTGCGCCAAGCACACCACCCAATTGATACCCTCTAGATAGTTTGAAAGAGATAACCCGGCAAAGAAACACCTGCTGGGCAGAGGCTATTATTGGTGGCTGCTAGTTGGGTTTTGCTTACTGTTCAAAGGATGAAACATGCATGTAGGTTCATATGCTATTTGGTAGCAAATAAGAATTTTGGTTCCCATTTTTTAGAACTATTTCACAAAAGACAATATTTCTATCCAGCTAGCTGGGTTCACTGTACTTAGACGCACAGATACAAATTTTTGCGGTAACTTTTCTAGTTTGATTTACTAGGAGCTAAACAAGAACTATTCCTCTATTCCAAAATATAGCAAGTGTTTACTATTAGATGTACAGTTGTTATATTTTTTATGGAGGTAGCCCAAGCTTCCCTAGCTTGCCTCACCCCTGCATGTGAGTCCTCCTTATCAAATTCTTGGTTACTAGATTAGACCCTATGTTGTTTTACGAGATTGCTCTATACAAGTAAACGACTTGTAAGGATATGCAAGCTATAAAAACTAACAGAAAAAAAAAAGTTTTGAACTCTTCGGTAGTTACATGGCGGGGAGATCAGTAGACTTTCAATTTTAATTGAATATTTAAACTTTATAAACTTGAAATTATTAAACCAATAAAGTTCATAGAATAGATATTATTCAATGCTTGTCGAGCTTTTGATCACAATTACATAAGATACTAGTTAATACCTCACGCTTTGCTAGCTGTGAGATATGTGGATAAATGAATGTTATATATTATAGAAATGATAGATGCATATGTTGTGAAAATGATTGTGGAGATAATGATTTGAATTGCTTGCATATTGAATTCTAAAAATATAATAAAATTGTATATGATATGTTATGTTTGCATGATATTTAAAATACTCTAGATAAAAATTACTAGTGGGTGATGACGTGACACACTTGTGAATTAAAATACTTTAGATAATAAGTGCTAGTGAGTAATGATGTGGCACACTTACATGTTAAGTTCTAGGAGTTAATGCGAAGGTTATGATGTACTCCCTCCGGTTTCATTTTAATTAACGTTTTGGACAATGACACGGTTTACAAGATATATCTTTGACTATATTTTTCTACTATAATATATATAATAAATAAATGCATGTTTACTTTTATTATAATACTTTAAAAGACAAATCTATATATGTTATTCTAGTTTCTTTAAACTAAATATTTTTAAAGTTATTTATGGTCAAAGTTATAAAAGTTTGATCTTGTCCAAAACGTCAATTAATATGGAACCGGAGGGAGTAATACACTTGCATTTTGAGTTTTAGGATCTAGTGGACATCAGCTTTATAGTAAGATAGGATATATAAATACTGAAAATACAATTTCAAAACAACATGATGATAATTGCACATACACAGAAAAGATACACGATTCTTAATTCATTATAAGGAGAAAAAAAACATCACAAAGAAGTATTACATTTTATTTCCATTCCCATAACATGGGAGAAAGTTTATTCAATCCAATAACATGCAACCACACAACGGGAGCTTAAAGTATGCTGCTGGTAGCAGAGAACACCATGAAAATGCTCTCGGATTAATTAGTACCCGCCGGTGAATTTGGACTTGAGCAGCTCAACTACACCAGCATCCACGCGGAGTGCCTTGACAAGCACCGGCGTCGGGATGGGCGGGTTGGAGCCGAACAATGTGAGCGGGACGAAGACGATGCCGGGGTTCTGGCTGTTGAAGGACACCACCATGGTGGCCTCCGTCTTGCCAACGTTGAACTGGAAGTGCATGAGCCCCCTCGGGATGACGAACGTCTCGCCGGCACGGACCACCTTGGAGTAGTACCTGTTCCCGGTGTCGAGGGTGCCGATGATGCCGACGAGGAGCTCGCCGCGGAGCACGATGCCGACCTCGGTGGCGCGCGGGTGGACGTGCGGCGGGTTGGTGCCACCGGGCGCGAAGTCGACGCGGTTCATGGACACGCCGAGCGTGTTGACGCCGGGCCACTCGGCGACGTCGAGCTCCGTGACGTTGGAGCCGTTCGGGTTGGCGTTCACGTCGCCGCCCGTGGCAATCTTGGAGGAGAAGAGGAACTCGTCGCCGGCGGCCGACGCCGGCTTGCACGCGTGCCCGTTCACCGTGACCTTGCTGTCGAGGTCGGCGACGCAGAAGTCCTGGAGAGGGTCCGCGTCGGTGGCCCGAATCAGCACGGGCGCCTGCTGCAGGAGCAGCACGACGATCACCACTCCAGCTGCTATGGTTTTGAAGCTGTGCTCCATTGTTGATCAACTAGCTAGTGCTTCTATATATCTAGCTCGATCAGCTCAATATATTCTCTTTTGAGAATGAGAATTGAGAAGGAAACTAGGAAAGAAGCGCAGTGACAAGCTGGCTTTGTTTGCTGCTATACTTTGCTTGGTGAGGATGAGGATGAACTAGCATTTGAGCCCTTTATATAGGGGAGCACAGATGCATGAGTCATGCATAGGTTATGTTTTTTTTCTTTTTTTTTGCGAGGAAATGCATAGTTTATGTTGGGACACGTGATAAAATTAACAGTGCAGTTTTGTGGGATTACCGGATTATTGTTACATGCGTCGAAACAATCTTGTGAGAAAAATCAGGTCAGCAGTCGAGGCCACAAAGAGGTTGCTAAGGAAGAGAACCTGTGACTGTGAATTAGCTAGAACCTATCTGCATGGACTAAATCTCCATCAGAAAGAGAGATTTGATGTTCTTTCTCTCTCTTATTTGTTTTCTTTCTTTTTCTCTCTTTTTTTCTTTTTTATCACGAAAGAAAGAGAGAGTACGTTGCAGTTGTGTCTCTCTCATTTTTTTCTTCTTCTTTTTTTCTTTATCTCTCTTTCTTTCTTTCTATCACGAAAGAAAGTAAGTCGCAGTTGGTTACGTGTGTCTGCTTGCTGGACGCAGATCGACGGGATGGGCGTATGCTGATATGCACCCTGCTGGTGGCGTTCAGGGCTCGTTTATTTTGCCATCCAAATTTGTAACGCCCCACCTAACGATTTATTCCATTGCTGCTATTTTTCATCTATAGATTAGAGCAACGAAATGATTTCAATTCTCATCAATGTTATCGATCTTTAATTCGAATCTCGGTCAAATTTCTCACTAGAACAAATTACATTTGTCTAATTTTAAACTGGATATAAGCCGATGATCGACTGGGTGTCGAAACATGATTTCGGCAATAATAAAAAGGGGTAGCGCACGAGACCTAAAAGTGGATGGATGTGGAGACAAAGGATTTAGACAGGTTCAGGCCCTCTCAATGAGAGGTAATACCCTACTCCTGTTTGGGGATTTGAATCCGCCGAGTATGTATTGATCTGACGATCAGGTTGTCTCATATATGCCCCCTAGAGGGCCTCCTGCCCACCTTATATAGGATGGGGGGCAGGATTACAAGATAGAAACCTTAACCAATACGGTATCGGTTTCCTAAATCAGGACTCTAGGCCGTTCCGTAATATACAAGGAAACGTAACACCCAAGTCATGATCTGTTACATATTACATAGATATAAGTTATCCCCTATAACTAGTCGGACAACCATGCCGTGTGGGTATGGGGTACCCATAATCTCCACAGTAGCCCCTGAGACCTTCACAGTCGGAAAGATAACCTTCTCTCGAACTAGATTACTCCAAAGCCGAGTGCTTCAATCATCTTCGCCATGGTCTCCCGAGTACTTTTACCAAATCTGAAGACTGTGGAGGGCTGAAAAATATAGTCAGGTGCATCGACTAGATGCACCTAATAGGTGTAACCCCCGACTATGTGGTTAATCGAACAAACCAAACATATAGTCAAGGAATAAATAATCCAACCAACCGAGTGGTTTTGATAATTATAGTCAACCAAGCGACTTAATATTAATATGTAGCATATGCGGTGTGAATCCCTGAATAATATGATCCAAGTGATATACCGACTGCTTTGTAAAATATGATGAGTGTAACCTAAAGTTGGCTACATTATTGAAAATTCACATAGCAAAATAGCTATAAAGAAGCTTGTATGTTGTGAATAAAGAAATTTCCAAAGTATTGGGCATACGCCATGCGCACACTGCTTTAACAGATGTGCTTAAGTCCCTAGAAGACACATGGTTCCACCACACCTGGAAATATATGGCATATGTGGTATAAAATCCGAGTAAATAAACTCATAAAGGATTTACCAACCGCCTGAAAAATGACCACAATATATAATCAGCCTAAGCCATAATATTGGTCAATAAAAATGCACACTTACGTGGCAAAAAGCAACGATATTGTATCCAATCAATTGCTTAAAAACCCAAACAGCACCATGACTATATTAAAAAGTCAGCGGGGCAGCTATATAAAGCTTTACTGTTTGACACCTTTTAAGATGCATTGTACCAACTCCTAAAAAGTTGAGTAACTGCTGTATAAAAGGATTTTAAGGTATTGGGCACTTGATCACGCGCACTTTGGCCTAAGCAAAAAGTGCCTAAGTCCCTAAAAGAACGTGACAGGCCACACTTGAAAATATGGGCTGCAGACATATTAGGCCTAGGCCAAAAAATATGCCTTCGATACCCTTTAAAGGATGACGCATGTAACATGCTCCCGGGTGATATAGACCATGTGATCTGAGTGATTATCCCTTATGGGATACTCCAAAATAGATATAAAAATTGAATCCCGACTGGCGCAAGTATTCAGTTGATAACCCTTACGGGGAATAATAAATAGTCCAGTCTTTGAGCATATAAAATAGACCCATGATCATGAATTCATGTTGCATGTATCCGGAGCAAGTCCAAATTGAAGGTATGATACTTGTGTTTGAGCTAATAAGCCCCTGAGCATATAGCTTGTCCTTCTGTCATAGTCACAATTGTCCATTGATGGTAGCTGACGCAGTTGGCATAGAGACAAGACAACCAATATAGAGAGAATATTGCCCACCAGAGGTGGCAAAAATATTGGTGGTAGTGAAGATAGTGATACCAATCAAAAGTACTGAAGTCGCATAGCCATGGAGGCGAAGAAACCAGTCGGCGGCAGTCAGGTCAGCCAGCAATGAATATGAAGGCGCTCAGCGATAAAGTTGTGTAGTTGACGACGACAAACGCAACCGACATGATGAAGATGACGATGTCGGTGATCCAGCCAATAGCAGTGTAGCAACCAATGATAATGACAAAGACGCTCATCAGCATTTGCATAGTAGTCAACCATGAAGGTGAAATAATAAGTCGGTGAAAACATAATCATCCATTAGCAACAGCAGAGATGTCAGGGTCGATGAAGCAGAGGTGCTGGTGATGATGTCAGTGACAATAATCCATCAAATTAATGTTATAACTGTTGTAGATGCTTCACTTGGAGGAGAGTTGATGTTGTTGCCCAACTCGTCTAAACCGAAATATTTGAAGTTGTTGAAGTAGAATGTCTGCTCCGAAGCAAAGATGAAGATAATGACTCCTGGAGTTGACTCGTGGGTTGATGAATTGATTTCTTCAGCTTGACATAAAATTTGTCAAATTTTGAGCCTTGTATTTGTATAGCCCCCGACTCTTTGATTAGTTGGGAAACAACTGAACATAGAGTCGAGAACTGTAGCCTCTTATCGTCGAATAGTTATTGCTTGATTAAAGATATGTGTTGAAGATGTCCAAATAGAAATCATGAATGTTGGAGAGCCACTTGTTGTAGTAAAATAACACGGCATCGCATGCCGAGATGTCGAGATTCACAACAACGTCATGGTTGGTGATGTAGCAAAACTTGTGAAGTAGCAGCAATAGAGTTTGCTGGTACCGAAGATAATAAAGATGAAGTCGCTCCACCATGATGACAAAGTTGTGTTGCCGTGATGAAGTGAACACGAGTCGGCGGCAACAGAAGCAAACCGGTAGTGAAGACGCGCAGTTGTGAAGATAAAAGCACTAGTCGGCGGCGGCATAACACGAGTCGGCGGCGGAAGACGATGATGTCCATCAGTAGTGGTAGCTGTATAAACCAAATGTAGAGGCGAGGGCACTAGTCAGCAGCAGACGAGACGACCGGCGATGAAGATGGTAAGGCCAATCAACACTGGCAGAATCATGCAGCCATGGAAGTGAAGAAACCAGTCGGCAGCCATGGCAAACGTAGGCAGCTTGTGTTGAAGATACTGATGCCTATTAGTAGTGACAGCGATGTAGCCAGCCGTGAAGAAGATAGCATCAGTTGGCGTTATAACAGGCCAGCCGTGCAGGCGGTGACACCAGTCAGCGGCGGATGAGGCGGCCGGTCGGTGAAGACGTAGACGCCCAACAACGGCAGCATAATAGGCCAGCCGTGCAGGCGGAAACACCAGTCGGCGGCGGTCGAGGCGGCCGGTCGGTGAAGACGTAGACGCCCAACAACGGCGGCATAAAGGCCAGCCGTGCAGGCGGAAGCACCAGTCGGCGGTGGACGAGGCGGCCGGTCGGTGAAGACGTAGACGCCCAACAACGGCGGCATAAAGGCCAGCCGTGCAGGTGGAAACACCAGTCGGCGGCGGTCGAGGCGGCCGGTCGGTGAAGACGTAGACGCCCAACAACGGCGGCATAAAGGCCAGCCGTGCAGGCGGAAGCACCAGTCGGCGGTGGACGAGGCGGCCGGTCGGTGAAGACGTAGACGCCCAACAACGGCGGCATAAAGGCCAGCCGTGCAGGCGGAAACACCAGTCGGCAGCGGCGAAGGCAAGCCGGTCGGTAAAGACGTAGACGCCCAACAACGGCGGCATAAAGGCCAGCCGTGCAGGCGGAAACACCAGTCGGCGGCGGCGAAGGCAAGCCGGTCGGTGAAGACGTAGACGCCCAACAACGGCGGCATAATAAGTCAGCCGTGCAGGCGGAAGCACCAGTCGGCGGCGGCGAAGGCAAGCCGGTCGGTGAAGACGTAGACGCCCAACAACGGCGGCATAATAAGTCAGCCGTGCAGGCGGAAGCACCAGTCGGCGGCAGACGAGGCGGCCGGTTGGTGATGTTCTGACTGATCCATTCCTGGAGCGTAAGAGATAAGCTTAAAGCCATGAATCCCTTTTATGCATATCTGGATCTAGATCCTGCAGAACAAACATATAGGATGAGTAGTATCTGATATAAATATAATACTCGAGAAAAAATCAAGTATTTTAAAATATTGATAAATATGTATTTCTCCTCTTGTCAATTTTGATTTCCCCGAGCAGATGACTCTGTACGTTTAAACACTCTGTCCGACTAGTCATAGCCCCCAAGCATCGGGAGTCGGCCTAGGCATTTCCCAAACATGCATATGAGTGACATGAGTTCGTCATTAATGGAACAAAGTTTCACGGATCAGAATTTACTACTTAGGTACTTTTGCAATTATTAAGAGCAGAAAATAAATTTATCTCATCTCTATGCTTTTGATTTATTCCGAATAATACTTAGC